GGCGGCCCTGCTGGCCTGCGCGCGGGCAGAGCTTCCCTGCGCTCGTGGGCGTTTTACCGGCACGCACGCAGCGCGGCGAGTCGCTCATTCAGGCGGCCGGGGTTAACGCGTGCACGCCTGTCCCCCTCAGCGGGGTGGCGCAAGGGGCTTCGCTCCGCTTTGTCCTTCTGGGAAAACCTGTGCCCCTCTGCGGGAGTAACAGGTCCATGTGATCGAATTCTCATTTAGTGAACTCGCTCACTAAGCCCAAATGCTCATTCCGAAAAGCCCAGAGTCACTAATGAGGAATCTGAGGGACTGCAAGGAGCTAACATGGAATACCAGTGACCTCCACAGCCCAGCATTAGTGTTGATTTTCAGCCCTGAGGATCACCTCTCTAAACAAAAGCATGCTCTGACATTTCTGGAATATCAGGTGGTAACCTTGTGGTTGCTGTGAGCTCTGCAAGTGACTGATGCAGAAGTGAGGATATCTTCATTTACCTTGCTAGAAAAAACAGCTTTAGATATAACAGATATCAAAAAATGCAATGCCCAGAATCCACATCTCTGCAACCTCCTTTGACTTATCTGTAAGCATTTCTGTATAAAATGAAATTTCAAGAGGAGTAGAAGTAGAGGATCAGGGCTAAAAATTCTTTAACCAACTGTAGAGAAACCTTAAAAAATAGCTTATGCTTATGCTAAATCTAGGCACTGAGGAGAGCTGTTTCCTTAATTCATGGAGAACAGAGACAAATCAAATGCCCAGTTGTCTATCAATGCCTTGAACATCACCTCTGGTTTACACAAGTTTTCTGTCAGTTCTATACTTACGTGTGTATGTGGAGTTAACTACTAACTGGCATTAATATTTCAGTTAGAGCACATGCTTTATAATCTTCAGGATTATGTAAAATAGCGTGTATTAAACAACCCCTTAGGAAGTTAGTAAGGAGTGAAGGGAAAATCCAATTCCAAGCTGTTGCATGGGAGTGGATTTTGTGCGGAAAAAGAACCTTTAAACTGCTGGTGGCAACAGTGAGCACATGCGCTTTTCTCTTTGTACTGGGCGTTAATGAAATATTTGACTACATCCCCAGCTAAACAAGCATGTAAAGCGTAATAGCTTTGTGTACTAGCTTGTATCAAAATTCTGCAGAGTTCACGCAGAGGCAGTACAGCTCATTTTTTGGTGAGGAGTGTCATCTGTTTTGGTAAGAACTTCATCTTTTAAGATTGTCGCGTGCAGCAAACCAAGTTGTGCCACCAGACTCCCCAGTGCCTCTAAGTCTGGGGTTTAACACTGCAGCTTGCAAATGTGAGGGGAAGTGTGCCACAGTCCTCAGCAGCATGTTCTTCTCTGGTGTCTGGGAAACTGGGCTATCACATGTGAGAGACCATATAGGGAATGCTGACGCAGAAGATGGAGGAGGCACTGCAATGTTACATTGCACGTCACTTGGCAGAAGTGTTCAATACGTAGGGGCTCTGAGATTTGGTTCATTCGTAGCGCTAGTACAGCACCGTGCTTGGCCCTTCTCCCATTCTGTGACCTGCAGGTGCCAGATGCAGCTAGAGCAGGGCTGTCCAATGGGGCAGAAGCTGTGATGCTCTGCTGGTCGAAAGTGTGAATACAGCCCTACTTCTGGGAGGTACGGGAGAGGAATACTGCACGTGAGTTTCATGAGCAATGCGTAAAACTTTACAGGTCTGCAGAAACTGTCCTTGCCTCCTCTAGGTCCTTGTCTCCTCTAAGTCATCAAAACAGAACAAAAAAAAATGTCAGCTGCAGATGAGTAATTTCCTACAGTTGTCTACCTCCATTCCGGATCTGTGCTTGTTTGTTACCTTCTTCACTTGCGCATCTGCCGCTCCTTTCGTTCCCTGTTTTCCAGGCTATTTCCAGTCTGTTTTCCTTCCTCCCATGCACTAGGTTTTTCTCCTATCAGTTATGTCTCTAATAGGGGCAGAGAAACTAAAATATTTCTTGTGCCAATCAAAGCTAAAAAGCAAGCGGATAAAAAGAGATAATCTTTGTAATATCTCATTCAGTGCTTTGGACTGCTGCTTGTGCATTCTTACCATATCTAGTTAAGAAATTTAATCTTTAAGGGCATGCCTCTTTTCTGTTTCCTTACAAGGAGCTTGCCACGTTGCAGCATGTGAAATACAGGATCATTGTTAAAAAATATCCCTTAAATAACAGGCATTGGCAGAATTCCCAAAGTGAATGGCATTTTCTTTAGCCCGTCCCCTTTGGATCACATGAATAGTTTACTTTTGTTAATATGATAAGTATTTGACAATCACTGCTTTTTTCACTGTGATTTACTTCTAAATTGCAAGTAAGCGAGTGAAGTACCGTCAGCATAGAATGGGTTTATGATGTCCAGTACCACATACAAAAGGTAGCTTGCTGGGTTTGGTAGAAGATCAGGTATAGGTGTCTTTGTTTTTCTGTTTTTTTGGTGTTCTTTCACTGTCTTCATCTCTATCATCTCATACCCCTGAACACACAAGTGTTCTTCCTCACCCATTCCCTACCTCCATTTACACTTGCAGTGCTGTAGAATGTTACACGTTTCTTTACTGTGTTTGGTATCAAGATACTGCCGTTTGTTATAGCTGATGCTGGTATCTCAACTGTCTTATATTTATGTGCCACTGCAGGTCTGGAAAGCATCAAGAATTTGGCAAGGGAAAGTGAAAATTACATAGTCAGTGTCTGATGTATTTCACCCATAGTCTCTTCTTCCACCCCTCTTTCCTCTTGTGGCTTTCAGGTTGAGAAAAGGAGAGGATATGAAGCAACAGATAAATCATACAGTCACTTTTAAGGCCACATGAGACAAAATGCATTTTAATGCTTCCATATGATTCTGAAGATCAGTTTATTTCCTGGAATGTAAAAGGACTCAATAGAGAAAAAAAGGTATCCAAAGGAAGCATTAAGTGCCTGAAAGCTTGACCTTTTCCCCACAACTACACTAAGTTGACCTAATAACAAACAGGGCTGTCTGTAGGTATCACCAAAGATACCTATCAGTTGCCTATCACAGATACCTATCACAGTTGCCTATTGTAACACAGGAGTGAGGGAGGGAGATTAACAAAATCAACACAATTATTTTTAATTGGTAGTTGAAATGGTTCTGCTGTGATCACTAACCTAAAGGGTACAAGAGATTTGCCACTGCTGCTCCGGAGTTGCGCAGAAGTTCCTTTGGGAATTAGCTATGTTGTGTTTCTTGTGACGTGAAGACATGCCTCTTTACTGGTAGCAGAAGTTCACTTGGGAAGTGAAGTGTCAGGTTGAAATAGGTACTCCCTGGATTTCTCATCCAAGCAGGCTCTGTCAGAGGAGAACATATTCAGTGCTTTGCTCAGTGTGCTCATTCTTTGCACTAAAGTAAATTAAACTTTAATCTCAGTTGTGGCCCAATCCTGTAAAATCACCTTTATCACATCCACTAGTTTACTTGTGCGATCAGAACCACGATATATTGTTTGTAGCTGATAACATAGAACTTTAACAAAAAATACAACTAGAAAAAAAGGAAATTTTTGTCAGTGACTCACCCTCATCAGTTCTAAGCTTTATTCAAACCGCAACCGCTGCCCAAAAAATGACAATATATTTTGATAGCTTCCAATGCTTACTTAGAAAAACCAGTTCCTGTGGAATAATGAGATTTTTTGCCCTAATACCACTGATTCAATCTGAAGAATGTAGGAAGCTCAGATAATGTAGCTTCACCTCTCAGGGCAGAAAACATCTCTTATTGCAGACTATTGTTCATGAAAAGTAATATATTTTATCTAATAGATGGCTGAACCTGAGCCATCACTACCGGTGATGCCAAGGATTATCAGTCTTGTTTTAGGAGTTTCGCGCTGCTTCAGTCCTTCATTTTAGGTAATTTCCTACCAGACCTTGTCTTTAAATAGGTATAAGCCTCCCTGGAGAAGATCATGTATCTCAGGTCATAACATCTATTAGTGGTACTGTTTAATAGCATTGCTGAGTCATAGCAACAGCACTGAGTCATCAGGCATGGAAAACCAATAACATGAATCAAGTCTCTAATTTTTCTAGTATTACTAGTTTTAGTCCATCTTTCATGTGTTTTACTATTAACCAAAGCAACATAGGTTTCTAGCAGTAATATGCATTTTCTCATTTTTAAAATCCTCCTGTGTATATTTATCATGCCTATTAAGAAGTCATTTTGCAGTTCTAGGATTTCTTAGGGTACGAAAGAAATGAAGTCAATTTTGAAGAAAAATATATCCTGAGTCACAAATACGGTTTCTGTACAGAGTAGTATAGGGTGTACTTTATATATGGCATATGGCATGTATATGGCATATATTCTCTATCTTAGTTTTAATCTGTACTTTCACCTATCAGCAAGTCTCTCTGGAAATTTACAAAATTATTGTACATATCCAAACTTGTCAGGAGTCATACTTCAGCGCCTGAGAAGCAGGCATTTCCCCAGGGCGCACACCCACTTCTTTCAAGGTTCTTACGAGCTTTAAACAACCAATCAGTAAGCAAGAAACGAACTAAAAAAAACTCCCTCAGGCCACTCTTAGCTGGCATCTTAAGGTCAGAGCTTATTAGGATATGTGTATGCCAGGGTGAGATTCTGTATTGCCTCTTGAAGCCTATTGGTTTCAGTGAGACTATGTGATAGAAATAAAAACAGAACTTGGATTTTGTTTGTGACAGGGATTATTCCCTTTCTAGAACTATCTAAAAAATGTAGGGAGTGGTGGCATCTGTATATAATATTTTATTGTATCTAAACTCTGATTTTTCATATTTTTGTTATACAATGTTGAGTGTTACTCTACTGAAATAAAGTCTTGGTGCTATATTGTATTTGTAGCAGTAGGGAAATTTTTCTTCCACGGAAAATGTAATAAATGTTTTAAGGTAGTCTGTTACATCTTTGTTCACTGCTGGGAATACGTATGACTTATTACAGAGTCGTGTCAGTATGTGTGGCAAGTCTTCAACAACCAGTAGGTCACCTGGAATACATTATTTAGTGTCTAAATCATAGCCTTTCTCTCCTTAATCATTAAGAAGTAGAACTACAAACTTCCCTGGAGACTTAGCAGAATAAAGTTCCCTGTCATACCAATTTCAGGCATTTTTCATTCGTCTGATTAAGATTTGATGACAGTTAAAGAGGATCTATCCTTTTCCCAGAAAGTTTTTTTTTTTCCATTA